AATCAGAATAAAATTATAAATGTTTAAGCTGGTGTTTCGAAGTATTTAACGTTGCGCTTTCGAACACACCAGGCACCGACCCCGCCGGAGATGGTGAATTAGAGCCCACAAACTCGTTGATAACCATCAGCGCATCGTTCTGATTAAGAGCCATCACTAACCGCAAATCGCAAAGGAAGAGGAGAACCAAAAGAAGTAAGATAGGTCGAATACAAACGATGATAAAAAATAAGCCAAACCGCACCCTTTTATAAACAACCTACGACCCGGTGAGAGGAAACCAAACTGGCACACCCAGATGGATCATCGCGAAAGGCAACATAACACAGCTCATAAATATGCCCCAAAAGAAAATGGAACGCCGCGCTACACTTACCGAGATGTAATAATGCACCTAGCACCATCATTTAAACACCAAAAACTCAATCGACACACACCCGACCTCTTACACTGGAATCAGCAAAACAGCCGAAGCCTAGTCATTAACCACCTCTCATGCCCACTGTCGAAAGGTTGCACTCAATACTACTGCTAGCATTGTCTTTTGCTGATTTTCTTCCTATCAACAGTCAGGGGAGCTAGAGCACACCATTGATGAGTAACACTGACTGCTGCCAGAAAACAAATCACCAAAAGACAGGGGGGCTGAGCCTCAGATTATAACGAGTTGCCAAACACGAATGCAGGGTGCATGCGATCGACACAAAACCACAAAGTAAGCGGAAACACCAGACCCAACACACACAAGTGAAACTACTGCAAAACCTGAAGACGAAAAAGGCAATATGCTTATTGATAGGCTCCCACTTACCGATAAGCAGGGGGCTAATCTAGGTATGTACAGCTCACCTAGTCCCTCAAAGTACACTTAGACACCAAAATTAATGCCACAGAAGCATTCATGAGCCGCTTTCAATCAACTCCCGTGTTGTGATGAACTTGCGGTACACCGTCACCTGTGTGATGAACCCGCAAAACATTAAGCAAAGTTACGATAAACCCGCAGCTCACCAAGTTCAGTTAACGCTAGAACCTAAATAAACCTTAGAAAGAACCGTCCAAGAGACTTAAACACACTTAAGTGTGCGATGATGCCACACCCTATACAACATGCGGTGAACTCATGACTTGCGAGCCCGCTCTGGATAACGGGATAGAAAGGATAGTAGGCCGAGCCCACAGTGAGGCCCACGTGTACCCAGACACATGTGAACCCATGACAACGTAGGACTTCGCAAGTTGCCACATAGAACTAACGAAGTACCGCCAAACGGTGACATCATTGTTGCCACATAGGATTAGTTATGACACACAAAAAGGTAGTAGTACACGCGAGTAATGAGGAATCTCAAGGATAAGGAAAGCTAATCCTTGAGAGGATCCTCATGAAACACCTGACGATACCTCAGTAGCACATCCAATGATTGATAGAGAGTCAAATATTTCMTTTCTCAATACGGAGTGAATATCTTAATCTCCTACCTTTTAGGATCCGGGGACCTCCTCCATAAATAGAGATCCTCCTCACATTAGAACTCATCCGATCTTAAGCATTTGTTACTGATACTCTCGAGTATCCACGACCCTCTCATTTTTCTAGGCTTGGTGACTAGCAGGGACGGATGTAGGAGAGCTGGCTGGGGTGAAGGGGGATTGTTCGGTCTGGGTTGAATCGAATTGAGCCTTGTCTTGTTCTACATCTATTTGATTTGTTCGAATCGAACCTCAAACCGAGCTTCAAACTCATAGACCTTGTTTGACAAGATATCAATGTCGACTTGATCAACCGTCTCTGTCTTATACTGATTACCCATCTTTCGGTTGGTATTCTCTAGGATGTTATTGTGCTCTTTGGGAAAAGGTGAAAGGTTGATTCTGCGGGTGGCCATCCTTTGTGATTAAGGAAGAACCAGAGATTCTAATGTAAATAAGGTGGTTAGGTTACGTTCGGGGGTCTCCTTGAAAGATGAAGGAAGACCAGGTGCAGACTTAGGGTTTGGAGATTAGGGTAAATGGAAGTGATAAGAGAGTAGGGTAGGAAGATTGAATGATTCGAATGATCCCCTCATCATGGGATGGACTCTCATTTATAAGGAGGGATCCCGAGGTCCCAAAAGGAAGGTGTTGAAAGAATTTGATTCCTATTAGAAAAGGGAATATTAGATTCGTTGCCAGTCATTAAGGGGCATTGCTAAGGTTTCGCCACGTATCTTATGAGATCTCTCAAGGACCGACTTTCCTTTCATCCGAGAATTTTCATAATCCATGTGTGCTACTTCCTTTCGTGATCTACTTAACCGACATGGCCTTGGTAACGTCATCATTCAACAGGCGTGTTTTACTAAACCTACATGGCGCATTATCATGCACATGACCTTGAAGTTGCATGTGTAGCCAATATTTAACTCTGGTTCATAATAACCCTCGGTTCTGTAATTGTCTTGGGCTCATTGTAGAATTGTGCATATCCGAGGTTCATCGCAGAACTGCACACATTCAAAGTTTATCATAGAATCGCGTACGTCTAGACTTTATCGCAGGTTCGTATTGGCCAATGTTTACTCTGACTTGTGTCAAGTGCGATTTTGTTGCAGACATGCGATGAGTCGTATGTTCATAACAATCGTTTGATGAGTTATAAGCTCATCGCAGGTAACTGATGGATTATGGACTCATCGCAAGCGTCCATGCAGTGCCAGTTTAGTATCTTTTGTACTTTGATGGTTTGAGCAAACACTATGTACCTACAGTATGAATTGATGTGGGAGAGTTAGGACCTCTTATATCACAAACTCCTCTCCCACTATGATTCGTGGATTATTTCAAAGCTTTACCAAAACAAAACTCTCGATTTAGACCAAACTCTAACAGAAAATTCAAAATGCAAAAGAAGTTGTTTTGTTCATGGTTCATTTTTGGGTCATTTACTTAAAAACCCATATAGTTTCATGGATTTACTAAAATCTACCACATAGTTTGTGTTTTACTAAAACATCCCTATTTTGCAAACGATTTTCTTAATCGACCTTTCATTAATAACTATTTATATTGCCATAAAAAATGTTCATGTGCTAAACCAAGTGGAAAATGTTTAAGGGCACAAACTCATGGTTGTTTATTCTGAAAATGCGCCTAACTTTTCTTCAAACAAAGAACAAAATTGATTGAATAAAATAGTTGTCCATGTTTTACCAAGGGCAATAATAATAATTTCATTTTTATGTTCATTTGATTAAATTTGTTTTAATGGGCTTATAGCTATCTTGTCATATTTACATCCATGAACCGTTTTTCTATGTTGAGAAAGCTACATAAAGTTGTATTAAATGAAACCAATTTTGTTGGTTTTGGAACCATAGATATAGTATTCAAATTGCTAGTTGTATTCAAGAAGTAGATGAAACATAAAGACAATCACAAACCAAAATCCCCCTCAAGGGGGAGAGAGAAAGGGGGGGGGGTTTCCCTCATAAGCAAGTGTAGTAGGTATGGCAAAGATCAACTAGATACTATAGTAGACAAGGGCTTAGGCTACAAAATATAAGCGGCTATCATCTGAAATTTGGGGAGGGTTTTGCATTTTTATGTATCAAAATATTTAGGGAAAATCTATGATGCGGAAAAGATATGATATGGGAAAGGTTTTGACCAATCAAAACTCCCATGAATTTTGGTAAATAACACCTGATTGGCTACCACGTTTATGATTCCAGCTGATTGGTCAGAAAATTTTTAGATATCATATCTTTTCCATATCATAGTCAAACTTAGAAAATTCAACCCACTTTGTGTTCTGAAAAAATACAAATTAGAAGTTAATTAGAAGGCTTGGAGAGGCAAAAGGGACTATAATTTACAAAACCCTCCATAACATGTTTTTTTTTTTTTTTTTTTAATCCATAACATGTCTGGTTAGGGGTGGTCATTATATGGTGTTTGTCGAGATCAGCTTCAGTGCTCATAAGGCTGAAATTACATTGTTTGCACAGTCTTTTACAACCGCAGATTGGGAATATTTTTCATGGAGAGATATTACACTGGTTAGGGGTGTTCAAATTATTGATGAATGGGAACCAAAATCCCATGCACCAACTTTTCCCTTTCTCATAATTCAAAAAAGAACACCCCCTAAGGCCCCGCTTGCTTTTCGGTAAGTTACTTACCCAGGTAAATGCAGTTACCTGGGTAAGTTTTTCCTAGAAAACACTTACCTATGTAAATGCATTTACCCATGTTCTTTTATTTTTTCATGTAAATAAGGCAATGGCCATTTTATCCATAAAAGTCCATTATTAAAAGGGGCATTTTTGTCCCATTCACTTACCTAGGCAAGTGATGCCCAGGAAAATAAATTTTCCCTGGTTCCCACATAAATCTAAAAAAATAACATGGGATTCTTGGTCAATGGGAACTAAAATCCCATTGACCAACTTTCCCCCTCTCAAAATCTGAAAAAAGAACGCCCCCTAATAGAAAGGCTTTGTTCATCCAATCTGACCGACAGGTTTCACGAAATCATTGTTGTCAAGGATGAATTGGACAACGACGAGATTGGGAAGTTCAGCAACAGTTGTCTCAAACATTCTCAATCGCACATAGGAATCCTGTCGTCCCGAAAAGAATATTTCAATTAAGGGCAGCATAGATTTTTTTTTTTTTTTTGATTTGGGATCTCCCTCCAAGCACTGTCCCAAATACTCTCAATAATCTTCCAACATAATTTGTTTCGCACATCGCGCTTCACGCCATAAGACTGGGACCCACTATGAGACCGTGACCCACTATGTGTGAGATTGTGTGGACACAGATTATGTGTTTGGTACCGTTTATGTCTATTGAATAAACGTTTGTACTTTATTTGCTGATAAAACGGAGATACAATAATTGCAACTGTTTACGACAATTGGGTGCCATTAGGTGCGGCTTCAGCGTAATAGTGAATAAATACCTGGCGTTTGTGAAAGTTTCAAAAAATAACTTCTACAAACGGCTGACATGCATACAAACCAAATCACATGCTGAGCCCCTATGCGGCACCATCAAGAAACATTTACTGAATAAACGTAAACGGTAACAAACGTGTGAACGTTTTTTTGTTGGGATGAGATTCGTACTCCATTTTATTAGCGCAAGAGGACTTGGCGATCGACCTCCACCCTGCAACTGCAAGCACCCTTCTGGCAGATAGAGAGGATCAGTAAGAGAGAGAGACCGTCCGGTCATCCAATGACGATTGGTTCAGGGGGATCGAGCATCGTTGGTCGGTAACTATGATTCCTTATTTTCTTTCTTTTTTTTTTCTTAATCCATAAATTTCTTTCCTCTTTAGAAACGTCTTTCGTGATTGTTTGTTGGCTTTCATTGTTACCTCTCCTTTTGTTTTCTTTCCCCACCCTGTCCCCTATACTTGACTCATCGCTCGATTTTCATGATTGATTTATCGCTCTCTCTGATTGCTTGGTATTATTTCTAAGGCTGGTTGAATAAAAATGTATAAGTTGTTTATTGAATTAAAAAAAAATTCTAGAGTTGGGTTCGATTTGCTTCAAAACGTTTAAGGGAAGAAAACATTCAAATGGATGAGATCTTAGGGTTGACTTGGGTTGGAATGTCGAATTGCAATCTACTCTGTCTCTCCTGCTTGGCAATCATAAATATTCTTAGTGCGCTGTTATTTTCTTGTTTAGTGAAATGACATCTTTGCAAGAGAACGTTACATATTTGTTCTGCCTTAGCTGTCTAGGTTGAGTATTGATGATTTCTACATATTCGATATAAGGAGGCGATGTTTGCTTTACCAATGCTTGCCTGGTACTGAATGAATCTCGTTTGCATGTTATTAATTTATTGTTATTATATCAATGAAATAACATCGTAATTAATTAAGCTAGAGTTGGAGAGATGCTGTTGCAATGGTAAAGCACAACATGATATAATCAAGAACTCCTTTAACACTCATACGATGAAAAATAAACTCAATGAGGTTCCTAAATAGGTTTTAAAACCTATTTTATTGTTATCAATTTTAAGTAACCTAAATAAATCTTATTCTGTTATAGGGTTTTAAAGCAAGAACTCCTTGAAAGAAATAAAATAATAAAGGCATGACAAATTAGGAAACCAGATTTCAGTTGAATTGATTAGAATTGCATGAATTATGCAAATCGGCATTTTTTTTATTAGAATGGGTAGTAGTAGACTTGTAGTGAGTCTTACAATTACACCACTTTCATAAGTCATAATTCAATAGATGCCATGAGTATGATCAAGTTCAACTTCAATTTTGAGCAATAAAAATCTATATCTTTAATTGTATTGCTATTTGATATGATCATATAATTATATAAATATGAGCTTTGCATGGCATCACATGTTCATGTCTTCACTCTTCATCCCCAAGGCTCAACAAAAAAGAACTAAAAGGTTATCTAATATTCTAATTCCTAATGTTTTGTCTTTCAAGGTTGATAGTTTAAGCCAAATCATCAATACAAGAACATGATAATTCAACAAAATACACACATTAAATCATCAATACAAGAATACAATAGTGAAACAATACAATTAAAGAAATTAAATTGTGAAATCTAATCATTTTTTTTTTGGTAAATAATACCATTGCATAATTGGACACAACTCATAAGCACATTCCATTGACATAAACAACTAAACAACTAAAAAGATGCTATGTGGACAATTATAATAAATTACAAATCTAGCCGAATTATAAACCTAACCATATCCACTAAACCAGCATAAATAAAGATTTACATACTGAAGCTAACAAAGAAATCTTCACTAATCAACAAGGAATATAGAGTTATTCAGTGTTCAGATTCAAAGATGCCCTATTCTATCATTGCCTCTAGCCATTTATAAACAAAAAGACACCTAACAAGAAGAACAACCAACTTAAAAATTAAAGTAGGACACATGGACAAAATGAGAAGTCTTATGAAATAATGAAAACATAACATGGGGCAAAACAAAAAAAAGGGAAACAAAAATGGGAAGTACTAGGGATGGCAATGTCTACCCTACTCGGTGGGTACCCGCCCCTACCCTACTCGAGGGGGCAGGTTTTTTTGCTTGAAGGACGGGTTTTGGGGTGGGTATGGGTTTTAGGATTCTATAACCCGTACGGGTATGGATAAGGTATGGTATTAGGCTAAACCCGACCCTTCCTGACCTACATATTATTGGAAAGCATATAAACTTTATGTACCAAGTCCAAGTGTTGAATTTAATAATATTTTGAATTTTACGTGAAAGATAATTGATAGCTCATGTATTTTTTACATGTCTTAATCAAATAATTGGAAATGTTATTGTTTATTTGTGTTGTTTTACTTATTTATTACTTATATATGACAAGAAATAATAGGAAATTAGATACAAGATCTAAATCCAACCTGCCCTACCCTTGAATGTGTGGAAGGTAAGGTCGGGAGGGTTTTGCATTTTCATGTGTGGGTAGGGTTTAGATTCTCAAAATCCAACCCGCTACGGGTTTTGGGGCGGGTACGGGTTGGGAGGTTTAGGGAGGCGAGTAGGGTCTATCATTTACAAAACCCTCCCCGAACCTGCCCCGTTGCCATCCCTAGGAGGAACCCCTGTTTCGCATTAGAAAAGGAGAAAAAATATAAGAGGTTGAAGCTCCCTGCTTTTTGCATAATAAAAGTGAAAAATAAAATAGAGCAGAGCCCTTGTTTGCATGAAAAAAAAGATGCAAAAAAGAGGAAAATAGAACAGGGTGGAGCCCCTGTTTTCATACAGACAAAGAAGGGAGAAAAGGGAGTGAAGCCCTTTGCTTTCATGCAAAAAGAAAAAAAAAAACAAAAGAATGGAGTGCGAGCCCCTGTTTTCATTCCAAAAAATTCATGCAAAAACAGAATGAAAGAAATGGGGCGGCGCCTATTTTGCGTCAAAAGAAGAAGGGCTGGAGCTTACCTTTCATCTACAACTAAAAAAATAACAGAATTCAGAAAAAAACCCCTTACCTTTCATGCAAAAAAGCAGAAGAATGAAAGAAATGGGGTGGAGAAGAAGAAGAACGAAAGAAAGAAAGAAAGAAAGAGGATGGAGCCCCTGTTTTGCGTCACCTGTCAACTAAAAAGCAACAAAAATCAGGAATGAAAAAAAGAAAAGAAGAACCTTTACCTTTCATGCAAACAAGCAGAGGAGGGTTGGATCTTCAATGGAGGAGGTTTCATCTCTTCCAGTTTCCCACCCAAGAATTTCCTTTGATAGACTTGGATGAACTAGAACTGCTGCTGTGTAAACTGAGAAGAGATATACATGTTCGAAGAGAAGGAGAGAGAGAGAGAGAGAGAAAACAAGAGTGAAAGAAGAGAGGAGGAAGAGAAAGAAGGGGTTCGGTTGTTGATATCTGCCGTCCCATATTCTTTATTATTTATAGCCTTTGATTCCTTACAAGAATAKGATAGAAATACATAAAGTCCTAATCCTAGTAAGACAAAAAATAATATGGATAAACATAATAAGGCCAGTCGGCCCAATCTTAAAAGAAAAAATAAAACAATTAGGAAATAACTAGGTGTGGGTATGGAACCACACACAATAGAGCCTGAGTGTGGGTATGGAACCCTACACTCGTGACTTAGTACTATTTCTTCACTCCCCCTCAAGTTGGGAGTAGATATTTATCATGCCCAACTTGCGTAAATCTGTCTCCAATTTTATTTTTGTGTCTGCTTTGGTGAAGAGATCAGCTAACTACATGTCTGAGGCAATGTAAGGAAGGCATACTTCTTTAGATGCAACTCACTCTTAGATAAAATGTCTGTCAACCTCGATATGCTTAGTCCTGTCATGTTGTATTGGGTTATAGGCAATATTAATTGCAGCTTGGTTATCACAATATAACATCAGAGGCTTCTCATAATCAATCTCCAACTCATTAAGCAAGGATTTTAGCCGTAACACTTCTGCAACACCATTGGTCATGGATCTGTATTCTACTTCTGCACTGAAGCTAGTAACAACATTCTGCTTCTTGCTTCTCTAGAAAACAAGGTTTCCCCCCACAAACGCACAATATCCAGAGGTAGATCTCTTGTCATCAACACATCCGGCCCAATTCGCATATGTATACACTTCCAGTTTTATATGACCATTATTCTTGAAGAGTATACCTCTTCCTGGACATCTCTTTAAGTAGGCAAGAATCCTTTCTACTGCAAGGAAGTGGGTGGTCTTGGGAGAATGCATGTATTGACTGACAACACTAACAATATAAGAAATATCTAGTCGAGTTAGGCAGAGATAAAGAAGTTTCCCATCCAGCCTTTGGTACATAGCCCTGTCCTCAAGGAGTTCTCCACTTTCTGCACTTATCTTATGGTTAGGTTCAATGGGAGTATCAACAGGTTTCACTCCTAACTTGCCAGTTTCTTTCAATAAGTCTAGAACATACTTCCTTTGGGAGATGAAAATGCCATGCTTAGATCGAACTACCTTAATTCCTAGGAAATAGTGTAACTTTCTTAGGTCTTTCACTTCAAATTCCTTGTGAAAGTGTTGTTTAAGGGCTTCAATTTCACTAGTGTCACTTCTTGTTATCACGATGTCATCTACATAGACAACAAGTAGAGTCAGGGAATGACGTGTCTTCTTAAAGAAGAGAGTGTAATCTGACTGAGCTTGTATGTATCCGAATTTGTATAAAGCCAATCTAAACCTATCAAACCAAGTTCTTGGAGATTGTTTCAACTTGTATAAGGCCTTTTTCAAAAGACAAACTTTCTTTCCTTTTGCACTATAAAAGCCAGGGGGTAGCTCCATGTAAACTTCCTCTTGCAAGTCTTCGTTGAGAAAGTCATTCTTAACATCCAACTGAAATAGTGGCCAGGAGTAGTTTGCAGCAGTGGATAGAAGAACTCTGATAGTGTTCATTTTTGCAACAGGTGCAAAGGTTTCTGTATAGTCTATGCCATAAGTTTGTCTGAATCTCTTTGCAACCAATTTGGCCTTATACCTTTCTACAGTACCATCAACATTATATTTCACAGTAAACACTCATCTGCATCCAACGGGTTTTTTCCCTTCAGGTTGGTTAACTAGTTCCCATGTGTTGTTCTTGACAAGAGCTTCCATCTCTACTTGTATTGCTTCTGTCCATTCAGGTATCAAAAGGGCTTCTTGCACTTTTTTGGGTGTAGGAACATTAGAAGTAGATGCCAAGTATGACCTGTAGGATTCTGAGAGACAATTATAGGAAAGGAACTTGGAGATGCAATG